ACAAGTAAGCAAAGGGGAGGGAGGGAAAGAAAGGGGGAGAGGAGCCTTGGCCAGGCTGCCTGGCAAGGTGCTGCAGCCCTATCCCAGGGCACAGGGGATGCCACAAGCTTCCCCTCCTTTTCCCCCCAGCCCATGCTGGGGCTGGACACACTCCGCCACCACCTGCATAAATTGGAGCCACCGCACTCTGGCCCAGTCATAACCTTGGGGGAAGGGAACTGCAGTTTGGGAGTGAGGAGCGCTGTCACAGCTGAGGTCAGTGGGTCAGGAGTAAGGGGCAGCAGCAAGGCTGCGGGGCCTGTGGCTTGGTAGTGAGGGGCAACAGAATGGGCAGGGGCGGGGCACTGGCATGTCACTGCCCTTCCCCCCACCCACCCCCACATGAATATGTCCTTTTTCTTGGACCTGGAAGCATGGCAACCCTACCCCAGACCCATTTTCAATAGTTCGGAATAAATGTGGGGGGTGGAGTGACCAGATAGATTGGCTGGCACGAAATGGTGCAAATTGAGCCTTTAATGTAAACAGGAAGCACTGTAGTATTTGTTTCACTCCTCTGCTGTAAATCAGTTGTGGCCTCAAGCCAATTGCCTACTTAGACCAGAACAAAACATTAAGTCTCTAAGTGTTGTGGGTGGAAAACACTAAGGCAGAGGTCACCTGGCAGGATGGGCCTACAGTTCTAAGGAAGGTGTTACAGGTTCTCATGGTACATTTGCCATTAGCCTCTATTCCCCAAACGTGGACATGAAGGGTGTTGCTTCTCTGCTGACTGGCTCCTTGGGCAGAAGTTGTTGCACCATTTCTGCTAGCACAGTCCATTTCTCTCTATGACTTTTTGTCTGCTTCCCAACAATCTGACAGGACAGAGAAGTTGTTTTCTGTGCCCTCGCAGAGGGCAGGTTAAAAGGCAAAAAAATAAATAAATAAAGACCACAAACAGCTTTTATTGACTGCTTGGAACCTCTCCTGTGGTATGTAAGATCCAATATTAATATTTATATTAAGATTTTCCTACTTTGGTGGTCTGAACAAAATCTTGCTCTTAGCTCCCAAAGCTCCCAAAATGGAATGCTTGCTCAGGATGGCTGCATCTTTGTCTAGTCTCTGTGAATGCTTCCTGAAGCCAACCCAAGCATAGGTTCTAGAGCTGGGATGCAGGGGAAACCCTAGCTTGTTCTTACTCTGATACTTTGGCCTTTCAGTTCCTGACTTCCTAAATGTCTGTGGCCCTGACTCAAGGAGTTAAGTTCCAGTTCAGCTCTTGAGAGAGGGGCTTTATCTTTTGTTTGGGGGAAATATGTGCAACCTGAAGTTCCAAGCAGCAAAGCAGATAGTCTGTCTTTATAAAGATGTTCATTAGGGCAAAAGCCACAGAACAAGAAGACCCCATCCCTTCCAAAGGGTTAAGCAATCCCACTGTCCTAAGTCCAGCTGGCATAGCCCTGTGCATCCCATAGTTAGTTCAGTTATTCTCTCTTCCCTTCTGCCTGGCTCCCAAGCTCCAAAGGCTTCACCTGGTCTCCTTTTTGGGGGTCTCCCCTGGTTTCAGTTGCCACCTTGTATCTTTACTGTTTCATCTATTGCATGGGCAACTGGTGCCACCTTAGTAGGGGGGGCACATGCCCCCCTGCGACCAGTCCCACCAGCCAGGGGGGAGGTGCCCCTATGGCTGATCCTGCTGACCCAGCAAGGGGGTTCTTCCCACAGCCGATGCTGCCTGGGGGTACCCCAGCAGCTAGTTCCATGGTGGCCGATCACTGCAGCTGCTTCTGGGAGTGGCTGTGGCCACTTCTGGGAGCAGCTGCAGAGATCGGCTGGCACTTGCAGGGGGGGAACAGGCACTTCTGCCTGCCCCCCCTGCCCATCAACTAAGCTGCGAGTGTGGCTGGTCAGGGGGTGCACCAGCACTCTCAGGGGATGCACGTGCACCCCCTATGCATCACCACTGATCCATTTTAGTGCTTTATCTTAGTCTCTCTCTCTGAGGCCTCCAGGGTGTCTCCTTCAAATGACGAGTACCAAGTCCATCTGAAACATCAACATGACCGTTCAAGTCCTGTTGATGCTGAGGATCCCTCTAGTCTTGTCCTGCACTTAGGCAGATCATTTACAATCACAGACCCTATTAACCCTTCTTTCCATGTGTTGCTTTATTGGTAAACTGTTGCACACCTTATAACAACACGACTATGTTTCAAACAAATAATACAGTAAAAGCCATAGCCCCTCTCATGAACCTTGATAGAGTATTTCCAAGCTGTAAATAACTCTTTAACTCCACAGTCCTGATAAGCAGGAAGTATTCACTTGATCTGCCATTCACTTTAAAGTTTTAGGGGTAACTAAAATGTACGACTGTGACCTGTTTTTTGAACAGAAGAGGTGCATGCCTATGAATAGCAGCTAGGAAATAGTACTTTATTGTTCATGTCTACTCTGGTAGCATTATTAAGGAATTGTTCTTGTACTCCTGGCTGCATATTTAATTTCCTATAAAAGAGTGCTTGCCTTTATCCCCAAAATATTCTTTAAGCTTTTAGTGAAATTTAGTTAACCAACCTTTTTTCCCTTTGTTGTGTGCACAATGCTGCAAAGGTTTATAAAGTGCCAGTTTTGTATAAGGCTTTGAAAAGATGAAACACTTGTTCCATCACCAAAACCACCACAACTGCAGCATCCAAAATTGAAGTTTGTACAGACAAAATCAACTCACAGGCCAGCTGACAGCCTTTGTTAGTCATCCTACCAGAAGTGTATCTGCATTCATTTCATATCTTCTTTGGGTTGTTCCACAACAGGTTGTCTCTTTAGGTACAGCTAGTACGCCTGCCACCTAGTATTTATGTAGGTTGGTACATTTGACAGTAGTTCTGAAGGTTCTTGTGTAGGAGTCTCTTCTTACTTTCATTTATTTGTTTAGTGTGAAAGAAATTTGACATGACAAATACATTTGAGTAATTTCTATCCTCCTTTTCCTAACATCCCTCACACATTTTCATTAAGAAATGGGTTATGGGGACTTAATTGCACCCCCTGTGATTCTTCCTCCAAAGCTCAATAGGTGGAGCCACAACACCTGTCTAAAACTTTTACGTTATTCAAGAGCTAATGGTCTTAACTTCCTTATCCATACAAAGGATTCTAGCACTTTTGCATTTTCAGTGCATTGTGTTGCCAAAAGAGTCTCAAGTTCTTTGGTCAGAAACAGAAAAAAAAACCCTAACAGAGTAACTTTAAAAGTGTAGGTGTACCACTTGGATGTTTGCCTTCAGGTACATGCTAGATCATAAATCATATATTAACCTCAAATTTGGGATTCAGAAGAGATGTTCAAATGAAATAGAGTTATTTTTACTTGTTTTAATTGTATGGCTAAATTTGTATCATGCAGTTTCATCCAGATTCTTCAGGATAATGAGGAATTCACAAAACCTACTCACTACTTGTTTTTCTAGCTCAGAATTCTAACAAATCCAGTGACAATTGCTATTTTTCAAATTCATAGATGGCTTTCACATCACACCATCAATTTATTCTTTTTAAATAACAGAGTATTAATACATAAATACACATCTCTGGTCATTTTCACAGATCCTCAGAAAAATTCATCAGTAATTAAAAAGAACATAATAATGAGATTCTCTCATCAAGTGTTTGCAGCATCACTTGAGCATTGTCCCATCATTTTAAATCATTCCTTAATGTCAATGCTTTCCCATTTTAGTATCATCTCAAAAAAACAGAAAGAAAAACCTCCCATAAAAGTAATTATAGTCTATCAAAATTAATATTAAAGATGACAGACTTTCTATTTTTTTTTCTTAAATTCAGGACAGTTCTGGCTCCACTTCTTATCCTATGTTATCTAACTGACACCTGTCCTCCCTTGAGCAGTTCAACTGAAATCAAAAGGATTGCAAGGCACTTAAACATTAAGGCTAGGTACAGACATTCAAAAAGCCTGAGGCAGAATTGACCTTAGTTGTGCAGTTTTCTGTAAGTGGCATAGTTTAGAACGGTAGTGAAAGAACACATATCAATATGAGAGCACACATATTCACCTTTTGAGGAAGGGGGTGCAAATCTTAAACTAGGTTCCACCATTTTTAAACAGTTTATGTGTCCTAAACTTCTGTTCTGTTACAGGTATAAACCTGTTTGTGGTCACTTATACTGGTACAAGTGCAATGCCTATATCTGTCCTAAGAGATTTGTCTGAAACTTTACATTTTTTTAATATGTTTGTCAGTTTTAGTTATAGCCCTTTCTTTGGCAAATTAAAGAACTGTTAAAATCCTTTCACTGAGTTTAAGGTGAAGCATTCAAGAAGGGTGAGGTGCATTTAGAGTAACAGACTTTATTATTCTGCTGTTATAAAAGCTCTCCTGTTTTTTTTGACATGTGGAATAATTATTCCCTGAAACGACATGTTTCCTTTTGTAGAAAATATTAACCCAATAATGTCAAATCCAACTGCTCTTAATCCATTGGGTAGTTTAATTAATTTGAATTGATCTATTTGTATGGGCAACTGGGCAACCAATATTTCTGGTATAGTTATGTTAATATGTATAAACATATTCAATCTAGGTAGCCTGGAGGCTGACTTTATAAAGTCCTTTCTTCAGTGCTGTCAATGGTAAGAGAGCATCAGCCTTTCCTTTAAACATATTTCAAAGGTGAAAAGAAGTTAGGTTCTACATGGCTTTTGTGGCAATTCTTCAACAATTTGTGAAGTATGTGTTAACATATAGGGAGTGACTACTTATTAGAGTCAAGGTAATACTAATATTAGAAAAGGTAAATGAATCAAAGTGATGGTAGCATATTACATAGTTTGTGTGTTGGAATATTTATTCTTGCTGTGGCCACCTGCACATATTTTTAAAGAGCATTCTTTGAAAATTCAGCTGATACTGATGGTGCTGTTCTTTCTTAATAGGATGTATCCATACTTGACATCCTCCTTTAAAGCTATTGCACAGAATGAAATAGAAAAGGCAAAAAAAGACCTGAAGATTGGTATGTAATATACTAAGTTCTCCTATTTACTGTGCCATTATTTATTACATTGCCTTTTACTTACAGACTTCTCATTTAGCTAGGCTAATATTCAGTTTTGTTTGTAAATAAAAAGCAGTAACACCTTTGTAGCACTTCAAACTTTTGAAAAGCTTACAAACCTTAGCTAAGCTCTCAGAACACCCCCGCCACTGCTGTTATATTCTGTACCAAAGGGGTGGGAATATGAATTGCCTTAGCAGATTGACTGTAGAGCTTTAATTAAAGAAGATAAAGATGCTGAAGAGGCATCTTGCCAGTGGGCGTGGAAGATAGCTCTTGGAATAGATAATCAGGAGGCGAGCAAGGAGAGGGTAATGCAGGGCCAACTGTCAGGGTCTAAAATTAGCGTTGGTTGACATGCATCTTTTCTTCTTTATGTGTGGAGACCACCAGAACATACATGCACAAGTGTAGATCCTAGTCTTACCATTTGGTCCTTCTGAAGGGGCTCTCAGCTTTTATGGAAGCACACCCAAGAATGGTCAGAGGAGCCTGTAAAAGGGGATTTTCCTTCCATAAACAATTTTGAAAAAAATTCTTTCCAAAACTTGTAAAAATCTATTTTGGAAGGACCAACAAAGGGAAGCATTTTTTTGGCCTGTTCCCTGGGCTGCTTGCATATTTTGACCTGAGAGACAGCTACTGAGGTAGCTGCAGAGTGTGGAAGCCCAGGTTTCTTGCCAGCTGGCAGGAAACCAGATAGGCTGGCCCTAGCCTTCTTTCCTGCCTTGTTTTCTTCATCTGATTTCAGTAGTTCAGATCATTGAATCATTGTGTTCCAATTGGATTGTGGTTGTATAGGAAAATGAATGAATGAAAATGCAGCCCAACACTAAAGTCCAATAAGGATGCTTTAAACATTTTGGTTATTGCCTGTTTATGAAGTATGACTAAAATTTGGAGCTCAGTGTACATTTATAGAATTTCTCCTGCTTAGAAGATGACTGACATGTCCCAAGACCTACATCCCAAATCTTCTATAGACTTAGCACTGGTTTGCTATATTAGTCCCCAAGTAAATTACAAGGAACACTGCTTCCTTATGGCATTCAGGAGTCATTGAATAAGTGCTTTTTTGATCTCCTGGATTTCAGTAGACAGATAATGCTCAGTTCCTCACAACTGCAGAATGTGCAACCTTTCACCTTAGATAAGTGGTTCTCAACCTTTGTGAACACTGCTCAGAAAATGCCAGCTCTTAGTCTTCACTTATTTTTTGGCTACTGAAGAACAGAGCAGTTCTTCTATTGCAGAGAACTCAGAAAGATTCCAACATGTTTTAACACTGTTGTTAAATACATATTGCATTGACTTTGTATTAGAAATATCTGGATTTATCTTGTGAATCATGTTTGCCTTGTCTCAAGGCATCCCAGGGTGCTGAAGCACCCTTGTTAAGAATCTTTGCTTTTGATAGTTACAACTTATTATGTAATTCACTGAATACTGAATAAAGTTGTTTTTTTCTTTCTTTTGAAGTAAATATCTATAACATCTTTGAGCCTTACTTTAAGCATTTTTTTTGCATATGCTTTCTAGCTGAACAAGCTGTAAAAGAAGCTGAGTGTCAATTAAAACATCTGGAAGAATTATTTTTGCATGAAGACAATGAGGTACTGTAGCAAAGACAGCATTTGTGTA